ACTGAAATCTATAGAAAAACAATATGTTTTATTTTTTTACACCCAAATTGTCCTAAAACGCCCACTGTTATATTACTAAAACTATCATTCTATTATTAAATTTATAATTAGATTTTTTTAATCATTAAATGAATTATGAGAGTTAATATATAAGTTTATTTATAGAATTGATTAAAAAATATTATTTTTAATGTTTTTAAAAAGTTAAACTCTCTCTCATCTTACCTGAGCTAACATTTTGGCAGCAGTAACATATTGGTTTCCAGGTCCACATATCTTGTCAACTTTGGGAACTGATTCAGTTCCATAAGCAAGAGCTGCAATAGCTTGAGCACCACCAGCTAGTAGAACCTTGGAAGCACCAACCTTATGAGCAACATATAAAACTTCAGGTATAACACTGCCATCTTTACAGGGTGGACTGGCAATAGTAATCTGTTTACAACCTGCGACTTTGGCTGGAATTCCTAACATAAGTGTCGTTGAAGGCAATGTTGCAGTGCCACCAGGAACGTAAAGTCCAACTCGCTCAATCGGTCTACTAAAACGTGAACATACCACACCAGGCATAGTTTCAACAACCAAAGTAGAACGATCATACTGCGCTTCATGAAATTTATAAATATTTTCATAAGCTTGATCAATAGCATTACGTGTGTCATCATCCAACATCATTGCTTCTGAAGGAAAAGGTGCAGAAATCACAGGCGAATCTAGCTTTATGCCATCAAATTTTGCAGTCAATTCAATAAGAGCCTTATCACCTCTTTTATGTACATCATCAACAATGGGACGTACTCTGGACATGATATCATCTGATTCAATAATTGGTCATTGAAGTAATGATAATCTTTTGGTGGCATCAATTTCAGATAAAGTAAAATTTTGCATGCTTATCATTTCTTGGTTTATGGAATTGGATTTTTGATCAACTTCACTATTTGATGTTTCTTTTTCTTGTTTTTTTGATACATCCCATTTTGGTTTCACATCACCTGGTCTTCTAGAAATTTTTTTTGCTCGCTTATCCAAATGTGATTCTATGTCTGATAATGAAACCCCATTAGCTACACATTTGGCAAGAGTGAAATATATCAAGTCAGCAGCTTCCCATATAATTTCCTCTTTACTAGTTGCTGCACATAATTCATCAGCTTCTTCCATGATTTTTGATTTAAGCAAATCAGGGTTTTGAAATAATTTTTGGGTGTAAGAGCCAGGTGGTACAGATGCTTTACGACTTAAGAGTGTTTGTTCTAATTGTGATAAGCCGTTGCTTGAACCAAAACAAGTTTGTGTATTTAAATGACAAAATCCTTGCAATTTCAAAACAAAATTATTTCAAAAAAAAAATAGAAGCAAAAAAAAATAAAGATGGAATTTTTTTAATGTCAACAACATACCACTTCCAAATTGTTTAACAACAAACTTTAATGAGTCATTATCACAATCAATCAGAATTTTTCTTAATTCTTGGATTGCACCCGATGTTGAACCTTTGTACCATAATCCACGTTTTCGACTTTGATAAACACCTGTTCTGGTTTTGATTGCTTCTCTTATGCTTTCAATTGAAGAATAAACAACACCTAATGCTTCATCACTTTCATTTACCACAACTGTAGTAAACAAATTGTCAGGACGATCTGATTTTAGAGTACAACTAAATGAATCAGCTAAATTAATAGTAGAATTGTCATGATTTGACTCCAAAGTAAGCTTTTCAATTGGAACTACTGGTGCTAAATTTTTATCTGAAAATTTTTTTATCAAATCTAATGAATAATTAAAATCTTTTTTCAAGAGATTGACACTAATTTTTGCAAGTCCTCCTGATGATAATATATTTTTTTGATTTAAATCAATAAAATTTTCCAATGTTTTAAAAAGATTTTCAGGATAAGAATTTTTTAATTTTTCAGATAAATCTTGTTCCAAAATAGTGATAATATACCCAGAAACCAATGAATATAACTTGTTAACCAATTGGTCAACTTTACTATTTTGTCCTGATAAATCATAGAGATTTAAATTTATTGCCAACCTTTCTGATGGAATATCAAAAATTTTTTCTGGTAAAGAAGTTGGTGATGATAAAATCAAAGAACCAGGAATGACAATTTTTGCACAACCTTGATCAAGAATTTTTATAACATTTTCCATGTCATTGGAGTTTATATCTTTTATTGGATACACCCAATAAGAGCCCAATTGATAGGTTTTAAGAAAATCTGAAAGTAGATTTATGTCATTAATACTTGGTTAATAGTAAGAAAATCACAAAAATTGAGAGTTTGAATAAATCGCAAGCAACAAAAAATCACTAAATAAAAAGCGACAAACAACCACAACGCAAATATACTGTCCTTTTAAACGTTTTCATTTATCTCTTTCCAAATCTTCTTTTGGATCTATAGAATGGGTATAATAAAGTGAAAGAAAGTAGTATTTACGTCAAAAAAAAATTTCTTACAAAGAAAAAGTATGTACATGAGGTAATTAATCGAATTTGGTTAATCGCACAAATAAACATGCATGCATAATTTATATAGTCGCACTGCATTTCGGATTGCAAATAATTATATATGTCGTACAACATGATTTTTAGAAGTTAAGAAAGAAATAAGAATTCGAATGATTTATTTTAAATTTTAATGATTAATCAAGCGAAATAGCGAAGCCTTTAGTATAACTAAAGAAATAAAGATACATGGATAATAATAAATAGGAATTAATATTGATTTTTTACGGTAGAGTTGCAAGGGAGAGAACGTACGGCCCCTAGACCATTATTATACGCCCCTTTACTTTGGCTCTACCAGACAAAAAACTATTTATTATTGTTATATTTTTTTCCATCATCGCTATCATCGCCACTAACTTCATTAACATTATCATTATCGTTAAATGTAGATTTGTTTTTTCCTTTAGTCTTGAGCTCGATCCAAGATTTAATCGCTCCTATAGTCCTGGCGTCGGATTTCGTTGTTTGATTATAATAATTTTCCACCGCTTTGTTCGAAATAACCTTGATCTTTCTCCTTTCGAAGATCGCTTACAACTTCAGCAATCATATCGGCTTTAGAATAATCGTTCTCTCGCATGGTCTCGTCGAAAAGGGTTTTAAATTTCTGAAAGACTGGATCTGAAAACGAAGTACGTCTTGAAGCTAATATGATACGGAAATATTTGATTTACTATGAGTCTCTCATCAAAGGTAATAGATATATAGTAATCTTACCTCGAGAACTGCTTGAAAAATTGCTTGAATTATTACTTGAAAGATTTCTTGAATAATTAGTTAGGGTATCTTCTTCCTGGAATCTTTGTTGAATTTTTTCGGAAAGTTCATCTATTTTATTATTAAATTCTTCAATTTTATTATAAAGCTCATCAATTTTATTATCAATTTCTTCAAATTTATTATCAATTATTTTAGATTTGTTTTTTTGTTTCTCCTTCAATAAATCAAGATCCGTTGTTTAAATATGTAGAAAACAAAGCATGCAACGGTAATGAATAGGTATATGAAGAATTTTTCTCCAAATATAAAAGTTACGATGAGGATCAAGATAGGAATTGTAATAAAATAATTCTCTAATGGCATTTTTGCGAGGGTTTCGAGAAATTCAGTTGGCGTCATCTAAAAATGATATCAATTAGTACGATGGTTTTTTATAATCCGCGGGAACAAGCATCCTACATACCTTTGATTTTATTAAAGTAAGAATGATATTTAATATGATTTATTTATTAACGTGGGTTTGATTGATTTAACAAATTTTTATTGTATTTATTTGAATGTTATAGTTATGAAGTAGAAAAACTATGCGAATTCGAGCTGTTTTTATACGTATTTCAAAATCTCTCTGGTGTTGATTGTCGATCTGCTATGGGTACATGTTATTAAAGTTATCAGGAATCATTGGTTTTTTTCAGAATTACATACTAGCTCATTAAAAATTTATCTAATATGGACGATCCGTTACCTTTGCCGATCCTAATTATTTGTGTATTTTATCTGATAGGTAGAATCGAAAACTTTGGTACATCTCATACTACGCACAGGCCCTCATTCGATGTCAAAAAAATAAGCTTAATCGTTTTTATACAACAACAATACATACCTTTTATTTATGAGTCTTTAGACTCTGGGCTTTGCCCATTCGTAAAAACAAGAGAAGATCTGGTGATCGCATAATATTACACGACATTAGACCAGGTCCAGGCCAATCTGATCCAAGAACCAAGAATTCAACGGGATTAATTGATGTTTCCATAGGAGGCTTTTCTTCGACTGCGCGATTTACAAACAACATTTTGGTTATATTATTATACACTGTATCTATGACCGAGAAAAAAATCAAATCGGAATTAATTACTTAGTCTCTACTACGAAGCACCATTATCTGTAACCCACGAATTGTGAAAATGAGGAAGAATAGGCGTACCGACTCGTCTAAGATAATTATTAAATTCAGTAATAAAAGAATCCGGAGGATTTAAATCGTCATGTTGGATCGATCCTCTTATAAGTGGGGGAGTTCATCTTCTGAATCAGAATTAGAAGAGTCGGTCTCAGAATCAGGCCAATCGCAATATTCTTCGTTGAAATTATCGATATGAATATTTGGGTTAAGTTGTTTTATAGTTTTTTTATTGATATTTTCAACACCCTCCAAATCAAGGTATTTTAAATCAGGACATGAACCGGCGATTTCTCTGATAGTTGCGTTAGAGATTTTACAATAAGCAAGTGCGAGATGCTGAAGTTTAGGACAAGAGCGAATAACATTGCAAATTGATGAATTAGTAATGAAATCATTCCCGTCAAGTTCAAGATATTCCAATTTATGACATGTAGCTATTGTATCAATAAGATCATTGCCTATATCATTACCACTTATATCGAAATGATTTAAATTTGGAGAAGATCTAATGATAGCTGAAATATATGCGTTTTTTCGAAAAGCCATAACACCACTAAAATCAAGATATTCCATGCTGAGTGATCTTCGTGTTAACAAACTAGTATCTTCAATTTTACCGCGACTAAATGCAATATCAAGACATCGTAATTTTGGAAATTGGTTTATGATGCAACTTATTGATTTATCAGTAATCCAACGTGCTCCACTAAAGTAAAATTCTTCCAAATTCTGACACGATTCTGCAATTTTTATTAAGGATTCATCAGTTATAGATTTACAGTAAGAAATGTTTAGATATTCCAATTTATAACATAATTGTGCAATTGTAGAAAGTCCTTTATCGGTTATTATTTTGTTTTTCCATAAATTAAGATATTTCAAATTCGGATATGATTCAGCTATTATAATTAGTGCTTTATCGCTAAAACTTTCACTACTTTTGAAATCTAGATGGATTATATTTGGACATGAATCCACGATACTTTTGATTATTTTATTTGAAATTGAATGATAATACGTAAGTTTGAGGTGAGTTAGGCTTGACCGATAAATTGGTTTTTTATCTCCACATATTATATCTAAGAACTTTTTCAATCGTGTTGGATCTTTTTCACAATATTTATAATCACCTGGATAACAATGATGATAGTATAAATCATTACCTTTTAACTCGATATTCCGCCATAGAAGTGGTGCACTACAATTATACCAAAAACGACTAACAAACAAAGTGGGATGAAGAGAGCCATTTATTGCTAAAAAACGTAGAATCGATTCTAATAATTCCGGCAAATTAAAAATGTTAAGCTGTATCATTTCAAAATTATATGATATTTTTAATCTGGATTTTTTTTTCTATATATTAATAACGGTACT